ACAAGAGCAGAGTAGAGGGGAACAATCACCTCCCTGTCCCTGCTGGCCACCCCTCTTTTGATGGAGCCCATCTACATTGCAGATGTACAATTATTACTCAGTAAGGGATAACTACCTTTCTAATTCATTTACTAAGAAAGTATAGCATTAATCTTATTCAGGTACAAAACAGATGCCTTTGGATATTAACTATTCAGAAATGTAGGTATAGGCGTAGTTTTTCTTTTATTGACAGCATCATTTACCATCTTCAAATACAAGCACTCGGTATCACAAATCCATTATTTGGATTTGTTAAATTTAAAAACCCTGCATGTTTTATCCCCTCCACATCCACTCCCTTTTCACAGTTGCTTATTGACTACATTGTACAGCACAACCCCTGGAATCAAACCAAAGTGGCATCATTAATACTCCCCTTCATAACATGGGCTTGCCACATACTTCCACATTTTTAATTCTCACTTCTTATTCTACAATGGTCTCTTTCTTCTTAACCCATTAGAAATAAGCTGTTTTAAAAAAAAAAGTTTTTGTAAGGACTGTCAAAACCATTTTGGAAATGCATGTATAGGAGATTTTTCAAAGAGTTTTTTTTTGTTTGTTTTTTTGTTTTGTTTTGTTTTGCTTTTTTACAACAGAGTTAACAAGTCACAGTAGAAACAATATTCTACTGGAGAAACCCATACCTTTCCTCCTCTTCTAACAGCTAGCAATACGAAAAAGAGTTGGGGATAGCCTTACCTAGAAAGATAAGAACCCCCTTCATAAAGTACCTCTCATCAGTAGTACCTCTCTTCATTGAAGAGAGTTTAGAGAGTTTCTGAATTACAGACTGGTGGAGTTGGCAAGGATCTCTGAGTCCATCCAGTGCAACCCCTGTTTGATCAGGGACACCCAGAGCAGGCTGCCCAGCCCATGTCCAGGTGATTTTGAAGACCTCCAAGGAGGAGACACCACAGCCTCCCTGAGAAACCTGTGTCAGTGTTCTGTCACCTGCACAGCAGGTATAGTATCTCCTGGTGTTCCGGTCTGTGCCCACTGGGCACCACTGAAAAAAGGCTGGCTCCATCCTCACTGCATCCTTCCTTCAGGTATTAACAAATATTGGAAAGATCCTTCCCCCAAATTCTTCCCTTCTCTCTGCTTAGTATTTCACACAGTGTTTTCTCTATGACATTAAACCCTGACTCTGGGATCCGTGCATCAAGAAGAAGATTATCTTCCAAAACCACAAAGTGCAATAGGAAGAGAAGACTGCCAATTTCTTTCCCCTGAAAGTACACACAGTTTGGTATCTAATTTGACAAAGAAGTACTACTGTTAATTCAGACCAATGGACACAGAGCTGACTAGAAAACAGGACAAAGATAAAGCTTGTTTCTCATATGGGTATGGCCAAGTACAAAGACTTCAGAGAGGATGAGTAAGAAATGAAAGTTCTTTCCAGAGCAAAGCTCACTCTCTTTCTCTCCTTCAATATTGAGCATCTAAGCTTAATGAGTTCCAAGATGAACGAAACACATTACTGGGATTGTTATTTGCCTGCTGACATTTGCAAGAGCCTGTAAAATACTTTTAGAAGTTTAACTAACTTGTTCATATGAAGTATATTCTGGTAACCAATCCAAAAGAAAAGAACAATCAGAAATATTACATTTCAAGATCAAAAAGTTCTTTACGTGCAAGAATTCAAAGCAAGACACCAGCATCCCTCAAAAAAGATGAAAGAATAAATGTACCTAAGCCAAGTAATATGGGAACCTACAAACTGACTTCCACAGTTTAAGGTTTAGCTAGCTTTGAGAAAACAACAAATTCAAGAACTATTTTGTTACATGTGTCTAAGTATTGAACTGCCAGGTCAGATATTCAAGTTTTTCTACAAACAAAGATCTCTATGCTGATTTTCCTTCAACGAATTTCAAATGACAGCAAATGTCACTCCTTGGGAATGTGTTTTAAGACATAGCATGGTCTACAGAATAGCAAGGAGATATTTAAAACTGATCAAAGCAAGGTGAACTAGTAGAAAGTACAAAGGTGGAAGAATTCACTTTCCCAGCTTCTAAGTGATAACATGCTGGAAGACATTCCCATGATCTCGGTGCTGTCTCTTTTCCTTTAGATGAAAAACACTGGCACATTTCTATTCAGTACTGTGAGTAGAAGCTGAAAAACTTGAGCACAGAAGAGGTAACATATAACAACACTGCTACACCTACTAGAGACGTAATAATTTTACTTACATGAGACTGCCAACATAAAACATCACATCCTCACTTATATAAAATAGGGCACAGAAGAAAGTTTTGCACTTAAATATGTAACACATTCTTGTTTGTTTTTAAGTTCTACTTGCCTATACAGGAAATAGTGAAATGTAAATAACTTGACTCAGTTCCCCGAAGAAACAGACAATCATAAACAAGTTGGTAGTCACCTGTGGTTATGCAACTATGAGATTTGCAAAAAGTTTTAAGAGATCTCACTGGCAGCTTTAATTCAAATACTCCTATTACTGATGCCCTATTCCCTCTATGTCCTATGTCTGTAAAAGATAGGCTATTAAGAGTTGACCAGGATTGTCTTAGAAAGCTAAACTACTGCTGGTTTTGCTTCATGTATCAGTAGATGTTTACAGTATAAATTTAGTCATAAAGAGGAAAGTATCATCTGTACAGACAGAAGAACTAAGAAACTTCTTACATAAAACTGTTCCAAAACCATAGCAGGCAATTTCATCAGTCTGGTTTCGTAACTCCATTCCACCCAGACTTATGTATCAGTTCCAGTTCACAAAACACCTGTTTATACAGTGATAGTCAGTATTAGGGTAATTTTTTTAAAAATTACACCAATAATACAGCATTAAGGGTCATAAAGGACATATGCAGTGGCAATGGAAAGGTCCATGTGTTTGTGTTTAGTTACCATCAGCAGTCCTTTCTTTGCGAAGATTTTGGTTTTTAAGAAAAAAAAAAAACCAAAACCTACACCTCATTTATACAATTGGTTTTCACAATGTCTCCTAACAGTTCTATAACTTATGTACTAAATGGCACAGGACTTCTTTTTCATTCCACCAGACCCTATTTTGAACTAAAAAAACAAGAATGGAAGACAGCTGATGGAGCTTCTCTACAATAGGTCGTGTGTGGAAAAGCAGGGGCCAGCAGGTAAGGGTTTCAGCAGAGGAAAGTTGTTTGCCTTTCACCTGGCATATCTGATTTACCTTCCTCTTCTAGAGAGAGCATTTTCAGAGCAGTTCATCATCTCCTGCCAACTACTCAAAATCCAGAGAGCTGGTTACCACTCTGAGAATATAAATAATGCTATGCATGCTGAACTTAATGGGAAAGGGTAAAAGTTTTTCTCTTCTCCATAAAGCCACAACTTGGTAACAGAAGCAACTTCCTAGACTACAATATCACAGGATTCTCAGACTTTAGTACTCTGTTCAGGTACATCAACTACGACTAAGGCAACTACAGTTCAGTTTTAGTAGAGATATAAATCAGTGATGTCTCGTTGCATACCAGTAGCAGATACAAATAAACTGTTTCTTCAACAAGGAATATTCTTGTTCTTTATTTGACTGCATACTTTTGCAAAAGAAATGAAAAACCATGACAGCAAAAATTAAAGCATGGAAAAATCTAACAGTAGCTAAGATAAATAAAATATATGGTTCTTTGAAGAGTAACTACACACAAATGAAAAGAATAATCCAGGCAGCAATTCACCTAGACTTTTAAACTGTAAAGAATTAAAACAGATGAAAATGCCATCAACATTTTGACATACTTTGATACATTGTGGTTACATTTTCACTTTAAGCATTAAGGTGGGCTAATTTAAACAAGCTTTCAAGTTACATCAAAAACAAGAAAAGAGATTAAGCAGGTGCTTAATCCAAGGTGTTATGTTTTTAAAAACTAAGTTAGAAAAACTCCTAAAATAACACTTCTTTAGCAATAAATTATTTCCACTGATCTTTCATGCATCCCTTTGAGAAGAACTCAAATTAGCTGATCTCTGGGCAAGTAGCATACAAGGACAGTTGAAATCAGTTTTCATTACTACACGAAACTGAAATTCATTGTGGTGCTGCAATTCATTTCTCAAGGCAGCTCTACTTTGGGATGGCAACATCCTCTCCTTGTTACTGTTAGTCTTCCAGAGCTCTCAGGATGTGCAACAATTAAATCACAATCTATGAAACTAGACACCCTACAGTTTCTTCAAAACAGCTTGGAAGTTTCTTTACCCCACCCCTCTTTGACATATATCAGAAGTGTAGCAATTATCATCATTTCAAAAACATCCCTGTCTTTACATTCATTCACTTTTAATGTTTCAACATGCAAAATTATATATCCTAAGAACAATTATACATCATAAGAAAACAAAATTCCAGTGTATACTTCAAAAATAAATCACACTACTGCTATTAAAAAGATCATTTATAAAAGAGATGAGTCGTTTGAATGGAAACATTGAATAACACTGCTTCCCAGTATGCCTTCCAGAATGCTCAAATCTCACACTCTGAAGTCAAGCTTATTAATTTAGTGCTTTCCATTATACATTTTCCTATTTTATTGTTTCTTTCATACCTCTATACTATAACAACAACAAACCAACATTTCATAGTTAAACATCATGATTTCTGCTTGTGTTTCTCACTTCAAAACACACCTTCTCAATGCATTTCAGAGCATGAAACAATCTGGCACAAGTACTCTTCTGAGCAAAGATCAGTAGTGCCATGAAGTCATACCTAATGGTTTTACAATGCGTAATCAAAGTAACGTCTCTCCTGTGACTAAACTGTCACAAGACCAAACCCATTTCACTCAGTTCTCTAAGGGGGACCCACATGAAGTACAACTTCAAAGAATAGGTAGCAACTCCCTGACTTCAAGCACTTCTGCAGTATCTCATATCTATGTTAATGTGCCCAAAGGGATGAGCACTTCTCAATCTTCCAAGTCTTCAGTCTTCATCTTGAATTGACTGAATTAAAAATGTTACGGAACGTTCTTCCATTTTATCCACTCAACTGCACTGATGCAATCTCATAACTTAACTTGAAAAACAATTTTGGATTTTCAGATTATAACAGAATCATTTTTAAAAGGTCATTTTGAAAGCACACACAAGCTCATGAAAAAAAACCTGTAGATTTTCAGGAAATTTTAGCTATTTCCTGAGGAACAAACATTCTCATCAGAAATTCCTCCCATCTACCTGTTTGTAAAATAAGAACAATTATGGAAATTTTTCATAACTTCTGAATTTCATGTAATCCTGTGCTCAGTTGTTCTTAATCTAAGGTGTATTTCAATTTTACCTTGAAATGCACTGTGATGCTCCAAGGAAGGGCTGTATTTGATGCATGCAAATCAAACAGCAAACCAATTGGGTAATGCCTAGAAAATTAAAAGATTAAATGAACATAGAAACTGTGCATTTAATTCTACATATAACAGTTAGAATATCTACATAAATAAATTAGCTGCTTTCTTTCCACAGTTTGTGTTCATAATTTGTTTATTCAGAAAAAAAGTTTACACATAATTGACTTACAGTTCACAGTAAAAATCAGGCCTGGAATTCACATATTCACATATTCGAAACCAGTGGCCTCAATGCTATGCCCATAAAACTCTTCTAGCATTTCAACTGTATAAACAGCCTACAGCTGCCCTGTGAAACGCTTCTGAATAGTATTTTCAGTGAAGAAGCTCATCATTAACACCAGCCATTCTGACAGAAGTTGTTCAGACATTTGAAAAATGAAATGATTTATCTGTAGAAAAGATGAAAAGGAAAAAAAAAAAAAAGGTGATCTCTTCATCTTTACTATCAAATCAAGGAAAACTAGATTAGAGTTTTGAATTTCAATGGTATTCTCAACTGGAGAACACAAACAAATCTGCTCTCTCCAAATATTCACTTTTGTCTTGTAACTTCATCCCTTTTAAATTCATTAGAAGATGCAGACTCCAGCAATGTAAATTACATATATCACATACATAAAACTTCAGGTATTTTGAAAAGTTCTGTTCTCTTTTCTTTCAAAGAAAAAAAAAATCAACAGACTGAAAAAGCCTCATTAGTTTCCTGATCTTACAAAGATAAACACACTTAGTTGTAAATTCAGCAGCTCCAATAAATTAAATAGGATTGAACAGAGCACGCAGAGTCAAGCAAGAAGTTTCAAAAGTCCAGAAAAGCAGTAACACAATATTAGCCTAAAAGCACCTGTGAGAAACCAATTCACTCACTTCTAAGCTGTCATAAACAGGGCTTTGGCACCCTCTACTGGTAAATCCATGTAAAACTATGCCAGACACACCAGCAAAACTTTAAAAAGGGCAATAACATATATATATATATTCAGATTTATCCAGATTCAGTGGTAAAAACTTGAGCTTTAATCACTAAGACATTTTATTAACTGCCAATCATGTATTGACTTCTTCAGCAGGGTTTCAGCAAGAGTGCTTTTCCAGATGCATTAGGCAACAAAAATCAGATTTCCTTTGATAATTATATAAATATGAAAAAAAAAAACCCTTCCAATTTATATGTTATATATATATATATATGTATGTATTTATATACGTAGAGCTACAAAAGACACCAAACCATTATTAGCCTACATCTATTTTCTATTAAACACAGATAACAAAATAAACATAATCAAGTTTAAGTGAAATCCTTGTGCTTTGTATAGATTATATAGAATCATAGAATCACTCAGGTTGGAAAAGACCAAGTCCAACCACAACCCAACCATACCACCCTAACTAACAACCTTCCACTAAATCATGTCCGTGAGCACCACATCCAAACAGTTTTTAAACACATCCAGGGATGGTGATTCAACCACCTCCCTGGGGAGCCTATTCCAGTAAATATATAAATGTATGCCTCTCATTTTGAAGAGGTCAGCCCTGAAATCACTTCGTTCACAGCAGAACACCTGAGACTGTTGATGACAGCAGATTGTGAGAAAAATCATTTTCTGTTCTGAAATGAAGTCTTACATTATGAGTATGGTTCACAACAGGAGTAATTCAGTAATGACAGGTAAGATTCTTCCTGCTTCAAATTCCAGTTTGCATACTGGCATTTAATCTGAAGCCCACAGAAGCCTTAAGTAATGCCTGTACATAATGCTGTATTTCATTTACTTTTGAGATGCAGTTAGAAGCATATTTTTTAAGAGTCTGTAATCAATAGCACACTACATAAGACCAAAACTATTCTTTGTATTTCCTTCATAATAATGCTATATTTCTTAACCAAGGCAGAGAATTAAGAGAGGCATTAAGAAGGTAATGGGGAATAAAAGAGAACTTGTCAATTTGTAAATGGGATGAAAAAGAGTAACATTCCTTCAAACTGCATTCTTAAAAGTGCATCTGCCTTGTGCCAAGGATCAGTATTCCCTCCTTAAAGATGTTGCATCCAGCAGTACTGCTGTGATGCTGTTTCTGAACCTTTATTTGAAAAACGTTCATTGCAACTAAAGAAATATGCAGATGCTCTCAGGAACCAACAGTAACAGTAACTAAAAAATAATAATTCAAAAACCCAAGCATGACTTCAAAGATTTGCTACCACTAAAGAATAGAGAAAAACAGAACAGCAGCAAAGGGAACCCATAGAAGTATTATTTAACACCCCCCATCCCCACCCATACACACACACACACACACACACACACACACACACACAAAGAAATCCCAAAAATAAAAATCAAAAATAGAACCTGTTTCCCCTCAACCCCAACACATAGGATTGGGGAAAATCAAACTGATCTTAACTGAAGACTATAATTTCTCAACTATAATTTCTCAAAGGAAAAGGAAAAAAAAGGGGGTGGGAGGAGGAATACAAAAAAAATGTCTTAGAGACCAAAAGTCTCATTGAAAAAAAAAAGTAGCAAGAATAACAATTGGTTTGGGAAAGTCTTCAGTCTATAGAAGCATAACAGCACTGACTTGTAGCCATTCTCTATTTAATACTGCTTTTGTTATTACACAGAAGGTGGTTTCAAGGTGTGAGAGATGCCCTTGAAAACACAATTTTAAGAACTTTAAGTCCTTTTGAAAGTGACAGATGGGTACTGATCAAATGGTGCTCTGGCCCCCTCTGTCTTTAGCCAGTTCCTAACTGGGCAGGGTAAAGCATCCATTCCACTGGTACCACAGACATCCCACACAACTGCCAGGCCTTGAGCATAATTCACAGAATGGGGACAGAAACTCCACTGAAGTTGAGCAATTGCACACGAGAATGGTGACAAACTACACGATGCTCTCCCCCAGAATCCACTGAAGAAAGTTCCCTTGGTGTCTCAGATGCTTCCACTAAGCTTAGGCAGCTGAGACATGTCTTAAGCTGCCAAGAGTGCTTGCGATCTCTCCTGAGGGCTAGCAGAGGCAAAGGTGGTGGCACTGCCTATAGAAGGGATGTTGATGGAGGAAGAGCTGTCAATAAGCTGAGCTATGGGAGGCCAGCAGACGACTCAGCGTCAGGGAAGATAGGCCACTGATGACATCTTCACCAAGACTTTGCAGAGATGAAACCCTGAATGTCCAGCTGCACAGAAGGTGGGTCTGCAGTCACTGGAGCACCAAATGGAGACTCACAACGTGAGGAAGACAAGAGGTTATGAGCTCTGGTAACAAAAACCAGGCCCCGCCTCCACTTGCAGTTACCGCTCCAGTAGCAGAAGGCTGAAAGTTCCAAGGAAACTGCAGAGCAACCTGAACAGCACATCCACACCAAAAAGAAAGCAGTAAGAGTGGTAGGAGATTCACTACTCCTACTCCCAGTCCTAGATGGAACTCAATCGCCACCTGCCAACTTCACTTGCTTCACTGCAACTTCTTGGCAAGCAGAAGACTAGCAGGTTTTGTCCTGAACTTGGACAGCTAGTCCCTGCTGTTCATCCACATGAGTAATTGCTGAAGAGGGAACCTTGAATGTATCAAAAGTGAAACACAGCTTCAGGGGCTAGGTGGCATGCCCACAGTTTCATGAAAGAGAAATGCTCAAGGAAGACATAAATGCATGTCAGTAACTGGTTGTACCACTCGCGTGGGTAAGAGGATTTTAGTTTTTACAATCACAGAACACTCCTTTAGGATAAAGGTCTGCAAGGGAAAGATGGGAAATGCCTAAGTGGGGCAAAAGCATCTTTGCCTTCAGGTTGGCTGGTCTGCTGGCTATCAACTGTGAGCATAAGGGCTGGGAATAACAACCCACATTCAAATGGGAAATTAATGGACACGGATAGAAACCAAGTGGCAAAGCGTGACAGCTACAAAAGAAATTTTAAAATGAGAAATGAATTACAGAAACGCAGCTGGAGAAGGAGCTTTCCTCCCACCAACAAAGTTAAACGTTTCTAGCCCTTTCCCATCTTGGGAGACTACTTTCCAAATCCAGTAATCAGATTCTGCCTGCACTTCCTTTAATGTAGTTATAGGTTTAAGCTCCTCTAACTGCAGGGTGTCTGACAGTATTTGATACACTGTGTTTTTATCCATGCAGATATGGAGTCTGCTGACCTCTTCTGGCAGCTCCTTATACACAGACCTTCCCTCAGCACACACCTGCAGGGAAGGAACTCATCTTTCTGTGTCCCAACATCTGACAGGAGGCCTCAGGAACCACCTGGAACTCCAAACAGAAAGAGCTGCATCCTCTTCCAAGATCTTGGTTCAAGTACAGTAGAGCATCAATTTGAAACTATTTCAAATTTATTCAGTACTCACTGCAAAACTGAAGAGCTGCAGCTGAAAAGACATACGCTGTATCCCAGCCAAGTAGATTGCAAGAAAAGCAGATTGAAAGAAAAATGACCTTACAGTGTAGACTAAGTAATTAGAAATATTACAATCAAACACAGAATCAAATATTTGAGTTAGACTAGATGACCTTTAAAAGGTCCCTTCCAACTCCTCTTGCAATGAACAGGGACGTCTGCAGCTAGATCAGGTTGCTCAAGAGCCCTTTCCAGGCTGCCTTTGGATGCACCACTCATGGAGACATTCACCACCCCTCTGGACAGCCCGTTCCAGTGTTTCACTGCTCAATGATGGAACATCTTGTGATTAGCAAATGTTACATGCTACATTCATAGTAATGAAATACTCAGTTTTACTTTTGACAGCCAATTTAAAGAAGCTGCAACAGTCACTGCTTTTTTTCCTATTATGATACAAGAAATAGAAGAGATTCAAAATACTAAGTGCTTGCCACAGGTAGGACTGGTGCTATCTAAACAGAGTCTAGAAAACACTGCAGCTCTCAGTGTTTTTTTAAAACTCAAAGCAGAAACAGAAAAATGAAAAAAAAAAAAAAACCAACACTGGTATAAAGTACTCAAAAATTAATCAAATAAGACTGTATCAGTGTGACTCTCCAAACCCTTAGAAAAAAATGTATTTTTCACAGACCACAGAACAGAACAATAATAATAGAATCAACAGCAATTATTTCAAATATGTTGAGCAGAATTCAACCAAAGTCTACATATCAATATTATTTTATCTGCTTTTAAGCACAAATGCATATCACACGAGTGGAAAGTAAATGTTATGCATATCTTACCACCTGCAAGCAGAAAAACTAATTCACATTAACACAGAAAAAAAGTATTATTTCCAGAGATTTCAGGCGTCTTAAAAATGCAGAATAACTGAACAGATTTCTTTGGTAATCCTACAGCAAGAGACAGTAAGGCCAAAAATACAGGCATTTCATATTACAGTGACAAGAACAAAAACAACAGGTGCAGCACAGCCTCTCTTTTATACATAAAGTACAAGCAGAATCATCAGTATTATGTTCAACATTAAACCTTCTTCAGATTTTCCTCCATCAACATCTTCCCAATCTTCCTCCTCTTTTGCCTTCTCTGAAACCCAATGAAGTTGTTAGGTTAGGAGAAGTATTGACACTGTGCTAAACTCATAAAGTCTCCACACAACAAAGTGAGTAAAGGCACAAACTTAAACTCACCATTTCAGTGGCGTACCTTCATATTCAAACCATATCTCATTAACTTCCTCTTGTCTCATAACTTTCTGGAAGTGTTTCTTCACTTTGTCTGTTACCAGCGTCAAGTAGCTTATTCTTGGCAAAAGCAACTGAAAGAAAAAAAAAGTACACATAAAAATTAATAAATAAAAAAAGCTTTAAGATATGAGTTTCCATAACCAAAATTCAGCGTTCTATTTTTTCCCCTTAGAAACAAGATTTCTTTTTGACAGTTTTCTTATTAATGGTTAATGAAAAGCTAAAAAACTATGCACTTAAAAATTACATAACAGCAGTATCCAGTAGTTTAACAACAAAAAAAGTCAAAACAAGTGCTTAATTCTTTTCATGTAATGGGAGGCAGAGGACTAGAAACTAATTTCTGCTTTTCTCTATTCCAGCAGGTCAAAGAACAAAGGTAACTTTTTCATATGAACAGATAAATACATGTCCAAACTTCATACATGTAACAAGTGAGTGTGTATCAGCTTATATCCCAAAATCAAAGTTAATAGAAAATAAATTAAAAACAAAACAAAAACATAACTGAAATCAGTTGCTTAAGAGTTTGCTTTGCAAGTGCATTTTGTATTTAAAATAGGTGGCAATTTGTTTTCTTAGCCTTAGTTAACATGTTGAATGGCAAATCAAAAGCAATTTATAATTCTTCCAGTATTTAGCCTGACCAGCTACTAAAATCAGGAAGAACCATAGAACTATTTGTGGTAGAAGGGACCTTAAAGCCCATGCAATTCCGACCCTGTGCCACAGGCAGGGCTGCCACCCCCCAGCTCAGCTGCTCAGGGCCCCATCCAACCTGGCCTTGTGCATCACCAAGGATGGGGCACCCACAGCTTCTCTGGGCAGCTGAACCAGTGCCTCACCGCTCTTGGAGTAGAAGATTTCTTTCTTCTAATTTAAATCTATTCTGGTCTAGGGAGAATGGGGAGGATGGTGGCCCTGCATGCGGCGGGGGGTTGGAGATTCATGATCCTTGAGGTCCCTTCCAACCCTGGCCATTCTATGATTATGTGATACTCCCTTTTAGGAGAAATGGCAATGGTTTCAAACTACCAAGATAAGTGTCACTACTTCTTCATTTGAAAAAAAGACATCATCTTACAGCTTTCCAGTGTATCACTTTTTTCCTCTCCGCTGTAATGTTATGTACTACCCAAAACAGAACATTGAATATAGGTGGGGTTTTTTTTGTTTGTTTTTTGTTTTTTTAAATCTGCACCCCCAATCGCATTCCCCTTAAAAATACAGCGCTGTGCTCACTAACAAAGGTCAATCAGACTACATCAGTCAGTAAATTGACAGTTGCACTGAACATTTACAGTCTGTAAGCATTTCGGTATCCAATGAGAAAAGATTAACCTCCTTGCAAAAGAAGATCTAGCTTTGCTTCGGACATTTTAAGCAAATTGTGTACACCCTGTACAATTAATCTTATTTCCCAATTAAAAATAAAACAGGGCTAAGGAATAAAAAAAAAGATTCTATTTTACATACTTATGGAAAAATAAACATTTGATTTTCCATTGTTATTCATTACTACTGATGCTTCTTGAAGTATTTTCAAGGCCAGGCTGGATGTGGCTCTGGGCAGCCTGGTCTGGTGGTTGGTCACCCTGCACATAGCAGGGGGGTTGAAACTAGATGATCATTGTGATCCTTTTCAACCCAGGCCATTCTATGATTATTCTATGATATACTCTCAGCTTAAATCAACAACAGAAAACTGTTAAGGGAAAAAAAGAAAACTGAAATAAGATTAGGAGTTCTCACTAAATTAAGAAAAACAGAACTTCAAAACCATTACAAGGTAAAATGAATCCTTATAGTTTAGTACATGCCATCTACCAAATTACACAAACTGCAATGCCTTCCTTTTGCACAATAGGTACTGCTACAGCATTTAATTGCAACAACCTCTACAGAAGGCATTCCTGGTTAAATAAAAATGCAACAATTCCTAACGTTTAAGTAAGGAAAGAATACCTGGGTTTTGCCACATTAAAAACAACAACAACAACACATTGTAAAATGCAAGAATTCAGATTTAACAGGAAGTGGACTGGTTTGATCACCAATGCATCCAGTATAAAGAAATACAGCAACCTAATCCAGAATGGCTTTACACTGCCCACTGTTATAGACATTTTAAGAGAATAACCCTTTTCACACTTGCTAAGCATAAAGAAGATTCAAGCAGAAGTTAGTCCCTTGTGCCAAGTACCATGTTATGACTGCCTTACGTTATAAAATTTTGTTCTTTTGTTCAATTTACTGCCCAGGGAGGTTGTGGATGCCCCGTCCCTGGAGGTGTTCAAGGCCAGATTGGATGGGGCCCTGGGCAGTCTGGTATAGCATTAGGTGGAATGGTTGGTGGCCCTGCGTGTGGCAGGGGGATTGGAGATTCATTATCCTTGAGGTCCCTTCCAACCCTGGCAATTCTGTGATTCTGTTCTTCACACCTAATGAATCTCAGCCAATGAGTACTCTGCTTCCAGTACATGCTGCTTCTGACTCTTCATTGCACCAAGACAAACCGTAAACTATTTCAAAATCAATATTGTAGTCATTCTGAGGACTGTGGAAAAAAGCAGATCATTCACCAATAAAAGCAGTTCAACCTAGATATTCTTAACTACACTTCCACTCCAATCGTAAGCATCCATTTTAAAGAAACATATCTATTTGCAGTGCAACTCTGTAGAGACATACCTGGAGAAATAATACAGTGCCTTACTTGAGCAGCTGAGCCTTGATGTCACTACTTTCCAGAACGATGGACAAAATCGTTTTAAATTAACTCTGCTATTCCTATACAATGCCATGTTGTGTTATATGCATATATTACCCCTGTGCTGTGCTAGTGTATCTAGAAGACATGGCTAAATAGGGTATCCAACTACGCTACTCAAGCTGAAATGCAACTCAGAACCTCCGCAATTCTTTTCTAACCCCTCAACTCTTCAGATCTGTCTTCCCATCTTCATAAAGCAAGTTCATCAGAGCAGAGGCTGTTTTCCTCTTAACACAGTGACACCAGCATTTCCCTCCCATTTACAGAAAACAGTCTGGAACACAGAGGTTATATCTACTTTAACAAGTACTGAGGTGTGATAACAGGAGATGTGAAAAGCAGAAAAACTGGTGTCAAGTACTGGGAATGTTTGCTAAATATGCTTGGAGAGGCTTGTTTCAATTCAGTCTCATTATTATCCGATAAACTGAATATCAATTAGCAGCTAATGCAGACTGATCTCAGGCCCAACAGCTTTGTGTGAAAAAGGCTCAGCGTGGGGGCTCTGAAACCATTCTGTGCTAGAAAGCTGGGCATTGTAAGCAGGGAAAGAAAAAAAAAAAGGTCTTCTTCAGAAACATATTCCAGATTGGAACCAACATATTAACGTAGAAGCACATTGAAACCAGAAGAACTCAACCATGATGTAAAATCTTAGAATGGATCCTTGGTTCCTTCAAGAAGTAAAGCTATGTTATCAGCTCCAACACAAACTGCAGAAGGGAGAACCTAACATTTGAGAATTATGATCTATTAATAACTACATTTTGCAGAATGTTAAGCTTTGAAATTTTCTGCACATTCTTGAAGTATAGTAAGTAAGAGACGCTGCCATCTCTTAGGATTAGGAAGTTAACCACACAGAAGCTAACATGGCTTTAGGGTTTTCACACTGATGTTAAACTGATTAAGACTGCATGTCTCAATACTCAAACTGGTGTATACTGTATGAGAGTTACATTAGAAGTATATGTATATTTTAAAGAGTTTTAACTCAGACTGCTAAATAGTTCAGATGCATTTGGCAAACAGTTGAGAGGTAAAAGTACTTCTTTTTCACCAGCAGTGAAACTAAGACATAGAGAGCTAAGCACTATCACTCCTGACTGAAAAGCATTAATGATTTATTAGGTTTCAAAAAACACATTAAGCACACAGGTATATCAGTAACTGACTAAATAGAAATGCTCTAAATTAAATACTGTTATTCAATAGTATCTTCTATAAAGCATGGAATGAAATATGACAAGATAGAAGGATTTTGGAATCACAAATCTCAATACAAGACTTTTTCCTCCCACATACTTGTTACTTTCCAAAATCAAGTTCCACTGAACCAGCTAACCTTCCCTATCAATCAAATGCCTATAAGGTGCAGCAAGGATGAAAAGTGCAGAGCACTCTGTAAACTAACAGCCACGTGATTACAGAAAGCACTTCAGTTTACAATTCAAACACATCCACCACCCATATCTGTATCATCAGCTATCAGTCCAGTCTGATAAGACATCACAGATCCTTTTCCTACTAGATCTCTCAAACCTACTAGCATTTAAAGAAAACACACAAGAAGTCATCTATGAAAGAAAAACTGCAGTCAGTGTTTATGAATTGATGTTACGTGGCTAATTTTTGTGTTTAAGGTGGCACAAAGCTCTAACTGAAGTTATTAGCACAGTAAGCAACACACCAGTTCTCTCCTGTCTTCTGAAGAATCTTCAAGAACATACACTCATGGTGCGTTGGTACATACAGCCTCTGCCTTCCATTTAATTAATTGTTGAACTTTCTCATAAGTTTTTCAAGATCTTAATTACCCGTTGTAACTGAATCTCATTGGTAAAACAAATCGAAGTTTTTTAACTCACTGCGAAGAAAGATGATTTGCACAGCATGGTCATAAGGTACTCCCAGATGGTTCTGGGAATATGAAGAAAAAAGCCTTTCCTATACACCTACAGTGTGTGTAATGAACCTAAATGAAGGAAACAGAACCACGGGATCAGACCGTTCACGACTCCCTTGGTGACACTCACATAATAAGGCTCAGCTTCCCTCTCGGTTATCTCATCCTGATACAGAGTGAAGCAGGTCGGTATGCGTCCAAACCACACATCTCGAAGCACATCTTTGTCATCTGTCATTCTCCCAACGGATGGTGAAGCACATGTAGATCAGCTCGTTTCTTCAGCTGGAACTGAAACCCCGCTCCCCCAAAAGAAACAAGTCACCGCTGCTGCCGAACAAGCTTTTCCCACAACCACACACCTCCAGGCACGGACAGCAATAACTGCATCACACCGAACGCCCCGAGGAGCCGATGCGGGTTAAGCCGGAGAGGCCTTCGGCTGCACAGCTCCCCAGCTACAGAGCGTGCAAAGAGCGGGCAGCCGCTTCCCAACCCGCAGCGTGCCCCGGCGCAGGCCCGAGGCCCGATCCCTGCAGCACCCGCCGGGCCGCCCGCAGCTCCGCGCACCGCGGGGGCGAGCGGCGCGGCGGGGTCTCGTAGCGGACAGCCGGGGTGAATCAGCAACGCCGGGCGCGCACAGGAGCACAAGGAGGGACGTTACAGAGGCGGCCCCCGCGCGCTCTCCTCGAGCAACAGTGCGGCCGGGCAGCAGCGGCCCCGGAAGGAGCGGGCAGCGCCCCGCGGCTGTACAGCCAGGCGCGTGGGTGCAAACGAGCACAACCGTTACCTGAACGCGCCCCTCGCCGCCGCCGCTTCGCGCTGGGGGTGCGGCGCCAGGCAGGAATTGAGCGCGGCCCCGCCCCCACCTTCCCGCGCATGCGCCGCCCCCCGCGCGGCTTCAGCACGGGAATCGCTTCCGCCCTGCTCTGGGCGGAACCTCGGGGGTGGTGCTGGAGGCGGTCTGCGGAAATGGCGTCTAAGAGGCGCGCGGGGAGTTCGAGGCGTGCGGCGGGAAGGAAGGCGCGGGAGTCGGCAGTCCTTGCAGTGTGGGGCTGCGGCCGCCTGGTGGCGCTGTCGGAAACGGCCTGAGAGACGAAGCGCTGCAGCTGCTGCCGCCTTTTTGTGCGTTTTACCTGAGGGCTGGCACGAGTCCTGCTAAATAACCCGTTTTGGCTGAACGTTAAAAAGTGCTACTGAGGTACGGCTTTTATTTTTACTTTGGGGCCGGCCCAGTTTAATATCGTTAAGGATGATCTGCGTGAGGGCAATGAGTGCACCCTCAGTAAGTTTGCAGAGGGCACTGAGGCGGGAAGAAGTGTCCACCTGCCTGAGGGTAGGAAGGCCCTGCAGAGGGATCTGGGCAGGCTGGGTCGCTGGGCTGAGGCCAGTTCTATGAGCTTCAACAAGACCGAGTACCGGGTCCTGCACTTTGGTCACAACAGCTTTGCACAATGCTACCGCCTTGGAGCTGGAAAGTTGCAGAGAGCAAAAGAATCTCAGAGTGTTAGATAACAGCTGGCTGAGCGTGAGCCAGCAGCGTGCCCAGGTGGGGCCAATGGTATCCTGCCTTGTATCAGAAATAGCGTGGTCATCTGGGCAGGGAGATTCCGTACTCAGCACTAGTGGGCTGCACCTCGAGTACTGGGTTCAGTTTTGGGGCCCTCACTACAAGAAAGACATCATGGCCCTGAAGCATGTCAAGAGAAGGGCAATGAAGTAGTGAAGGGTCTGCAGCACAAGTCTTATGGGGAGCAGCTGAGGGAGCTGGGATTTTTCAGTCTGGAGATGAGGACGTTCAGGGCAGACCTCACTGCTCTCTACAATCCCTGATAGGAGGTTGGGGAGAGGTGGGTGTTGGCCTCTTCTCCTGCAAAGCTAGCGACAAGACAAGAGGGAGTGGCCTTAAGTTGCATCAGGGAAGGGAGATTTGGAAGAATTTCTTCTGCAGAACATGGTGAGGTATTATTAGCACAGGCTGCCCAGGGAGCTGATGAAGTCATCGTCCCCAGAAGTATTTGAAAATGAATGGATGTGGCACTGAGGGACATGGTTAGTGGGCATGGTGGGGATGGGCTGACAGTTGGATTAGATGTTCTAAGTGATTTTTTACAAGAATAATAATTCTATGATTTTTATGGATGTATATTTACTGATTCACACGATTTGGAGACTTTTAATACCTTTTCCAGTACTCTGAAAGATTAAAGAAACCCAAAGATAGGGTTTCATTTGTACCAGTTTGAAAGAGCTCATCATGATAATCTGTTTTTTTTTAATTAAACAAAAATATTCTGAGCATGAGCCCAGTTATAAGTTATCAGAGAAAAAAAAAAAAGCAATGTTGTTTTTGTCAACATCTTATTCTGCAATTTGAGATGTACCTGGTGAAAATTTCCAACCTTTTTCCTAAGGGTTCTTGCGAGTCCCAGGTCCAGGACATTGATTCAAAACCAGGTAAACTCAAGGTTTAGCTGAAATAACTAAAGTTACCTGAAAACTGAAGTAATTTTGCATTTGGCATGGTCCACCTCAAAGTATAGGGAAGGATGGCACACAGTATGTGCCATGTTGCAAAAGCTTTATGCTCCCAAGTGGCACAGCAGAGCTCCCTGGCAGCAGGAGCAAGGGATTCTTCTGGAATTCCCTTATGCTCCTAAATACAGATAAGTTACACATGCTGTGGGCAAGGCCTTTGGGCAGCATCTCTGAAAGACACGCTGGCACCAAGCAGACAAAAGGGCAGGAGTTCCTCTGGAAGCATTATCCATGCATTCAGAACAGCATAACCAACATGTATGGTGTGGAAACCACTGTCTGGTGGACTTACAGGAACCTCTGGATGAGGAAGGCCACTTTTATGGAGATCTCCATTTGGATCTCAAAATAATAACAATAATAATTTGTCCTGGTTATAAGATTAGTGAGAAATCACTGCACATGTGGGTTTCCCTACAAGAAATTAAGGAGAACTACATGGTTTTTTTTTTTTTTTTTCTTTGTCTTTTGCTTTTATGTGTCTTCAGAGTTCTTCTATAGAAGAGATTGTTTTAGTTGTGTTAAAGATTTTGCCAGCTGATACTTAAAAGTAAATGCCCCAAAAGCATCCACTGACCCAGCTGCTCCTGCTCTTTTTTGTTTCACAGGCAGGAAGCCTGCTGGCACTGTTATTAGCAGTAGAATCAGCAGTATGCACATACTGAGCATGTAGCCTGTACTACCTGCACTTATATCCTGAGACCATACTTAACATCGACTGCATCAGCTCTTGAATCATACCATTGACTGTCTGTGCTGTGTAATCAGTATTCTGTTGATTATTTATGACACTTTCCAAACAAATTAAACATTTACTTTTGTATTACATCCTCATGTTGATTATGAGGAACATAGGCACGTGACTCCACTTCATAGGTTGAACACTGAACACCGTTGGAGTGCCCGAGCCCTTTTCATAATTTACACACAAGATACTAAGTAGAGAATAAAACACAGTAAGTTCTAAAGTGTGATACCATGATGCTTAGAGAATCTTACTTTTTTGTAAACTTCCTAGCAAGCTGCTGATGTAGTTACTAGACACAGATGCAGCAGCATACACTGTACTATCTGCATGAGATTATAAAGACAATAGTTCCATACACAAATGCAGCTCCACTGCTGGGGAAATGAACCTGGTTGTAGACAAATGCATGAAATGTAGTGTAGTTACTGAATGAATAAAGTAAACCTGAAATGAAAGCCAAATTTGATATATTTATATGACTATAAATAATTAATATTAAAAGTAATTGCTGAGATGGAATGTCAAAACAGATACAATAAAAAAGGCATCACCTCATTTGTCTTATTATTTTTCAGATTGTTCAATGCTTCATGTTGCATCATGACCCAGCAGAAGGAACCAGTCTGAATTGGAAAGGGAGAGGTTCCCAGAGCTCAACAAACATATTTTCAATTCCAGAGATCCTCAACCAGTATTCCCCCATTTTAAACTTCATAATCAGACAACATACAGTGAGTCATTGCTTAATGGCAGCTGAACCAAAACACCTGTTAGTGAATACGTATGGAATGTGAAGATGATCGTAAAGAACAAGATTATAATTAAAGATGCATTAATTCTAACAGAAACAAGAGAAATGGAGCAGATGCTATACATTTTTGTGGGTAGTTATGTTTTTGTGTAATGATAGTGGAGATAAATATTTGTAAACAGAATTACTATGTAATTTATGTTGGAGAGGACCTTAAAAGTCCTCTCCTGACCTCCAGACCAACACCCTTTCTCAAAGCAGGGCTAGCTAGCCACAAAGGTAGATCATGCTGGTGAAGATAACAACAGCGTTTCGTTACTGCAAAATTACATGAGCAAAAGATGAAAAAATATTCCCATGCATGTTTTGCTATAGCTAGAATAACTGTGTTCTTTGCTTTGATCACATGGAATAAATTTAATGTGGCTTTTATAGAACTCTAGCAGGTTGACCAAAATTTCCTTTTATTTTGGCCTGTGTCATCTTTGTATAAAATCATGACTCCATTAAATCAACAGAAGAACTCCCAAAGATAAGTGAATTTTTGCTTATGCCAGTGATGCTTTTTTAGGAACTGGTCAACAATCATTATTATTTTTTCCCTTCATTTCTCTAACAGTTTTCACAGCAAATGAAAACCATTTTGTTTTCATCTCCTAGCTATTGTCTTTTGAGTATGCAAATGAAAACAGATTGTGAGAATAATTAGAATACAGTTTTTAACATGCAACAGTGAGTAAGTCAAACAAAACTCATAATGCTGCTATTTATATATGACTAAACAGCTCATTGTTGCCTAGTCACGGTGGAGAATTAATTTGATTATTTATAGAAGTTGATTCAGTCATCCAAGACCTTTCTGGAAATAATATTATAAAGCAGAAGTACCATGTCTGCTGGCACGTAATGTTTTTCAGATACGATTTGAACTGATATGTTTGTGGAAGAAAAAGAATTACTCTTACTTGTATATATTTCTTCTTTCATGCTCTCTTCACATACTAATATTTTCCTTCTATAACAGGTGCAGGTATTCTAGATGTTTTTAAATAATTGAACTGTGCAGACAACTGTCCTAGTTTTACTTCACGGTAGTTGTTTTAATTCACCAACTTCCCATTTTAATTCCAATTAAAATCCATAAATCATATCTCACACTATCAAGTAATCTTTTATTGCTAAAATATGTGACTGGACAGTTTCTACTTTTAGGTCTGCTGCTTATTATTCATCTTGAACAACATTTCTTGTGGTCACTACTTTGTAGTAGCACCACTAAAGCATCTTGGTTTAGTAAGGAGTGGGGAAATAAAATTTTCAGTGCTTGTACAATTTGTATGGATGAATATTCCTTATTAGCATAGAGCAGATATTAATAGTGCCAAAGCCATTTTACTTACTTAGCTATTTTTTTTACCCTTCTGCTTGTTGGCTAAGTAGTACCTATTCTGTCAACTATGTCACTTATGAGGAGAAATTCCTTGTACTCAGAAGGCACCAGAATGATGATTTCTGTTGATTTTTATTTTTTTTGTTAGGAAAACTGAAACAAAGAAAAGCGAGCACCTTTGTCAGTTCTGTCTCTGTGTGTAACAGGATGGGATCCATCAGTGTTTGACACATAAATACAGCCTTTCATGAATCAGGCTCACAACTATCTTAGCTCTGAATCACGGCGTGTTTAGGAAGTAAAACAAAAATATAAGGAGGATAATATAATAATCCTGTTTTGCCTGGCTATTTGAACAGTTTTCATGTTGCTTATTTGGTCAGGAAGATGTTTCATCCTCAGTCTGAACTGAAACCTCCTGTTAATATTGTTACAGTGTCATCTTCTGAGACAAAGGCAACCTGGTCGTAAGTGCAAAAAGGCACTAAGCACCCCTATGTCATTTAGTACTCAAGGATACACAGAACTGAAGCTAACAGTAACTGCTGTTCATTAACAAGTAATCTTTTATAGCTTGGTAAGATTGGTATAGCTAGTTTATAGTCCTTCCCAAAAGAATTTCATTCCTTTTCTTTGTTACATTGTACAAATTCCAGCATCTGATGATACTGTCATTCAGATATTCACTGTAATCTAGTCTACTTGCTAATTTATGAAATGACATACTATTGCAATAAAGTATCCAGTACCATATGGGTTCATTAGTAGCACAGTGTGGCATAGGTAGAGTAGGCCAGATGTCTTGCTGATAAAAGTCACCGTGGCTTCAGAAAAGTGATTTTCTATTCTCAGTGGATCTAATGCTGTGTGCTTATTATATCTGACCATAAAGGCTTTGAATGCTGTTCCTTTCTTAGCTTTCCAAAAAGAAATACTGCACTTTCAAAGTGAAATATAGGATGTGGCTCTGGGCAGCCTGATCTAGTGTTGGTGACCCTGCCCAGGACAGGGGGGTTGAAACTAGATCTTTGAGGTCCTTTTCAATCCAGGCCATCCTATGATTCTGTGATTTCTCCATCCAGACAAAATTGCTTTTACGGTATGTCAGGAAGTCCTTTGGTTTTACCCAGGGAAATAATTTTTCTCTGTGTTTTTGTTTACTTTCCACTGTGTGTGTGGATTTAAAATCAATATCAGGTATGAGTTGTTCTTTCTCCTTGTTGCATTGGCACAACATTTTTTTAATGAGCTAGTTGTTAAATCACTCAGATTTTTCAGGGACAAAAAAAAAAAAAAGCATACAGTGCATATAAAAAAGGAGGATGGGTGCTACTCTTTTCTGGGGAAAAAATTAAAATACTGTCTGTCAGATTCCATAGCAGGTGTAATTACCACTGGCCTCATTGGTATTGACTGGAAGGAAATAATCGCTGCCCCTGACTTACTGGCTGCACCAGAACATGTTTGGTCTTCACTGCTGCCGGGGTGCACTTGTGATCCATATTCAGCATCTCAGCACCAAGAACCCTGCAGCCAGTCAGTCTCCAGCCAACCTGTATGGTTGTGTGGGGTTACTGTGTCTCACGTGAAGGAGTTTGCATTGTGCCTCTGTTTAACTCCATGGATTTTCTGCTTCCTCATTTCTTTCATTTGCTGGGATCTTTTGAATAGCTTCCAATCCCACCTTCATATCAACACCCTCTAGCTCACTATCACATCAGTTTATGTCATCCAAAAACACAACTGTGCATTCAATCCATTGCCGAGTCAATGATAAAAATATTAAATCATCTTAGTATTGACACTGGAGAAATATCACAAGTAACAAGATTCCAGTTAAAATTTGAGCCAATAAAGGCTACTCTCTGAGCTCAGCAGTCCAGCAAGCTTTTCACCCATGCAGCACTCTTACCCATGCAGTTCACATCTTCTCAGTTTGACTCTCACTTTACTATGAAAGGCTATGTTGAAAGTCTTGCTTCAGATAAGCTGTACCTGCAATTCTTTCATCCACGGAGACAGCCATTTCGTCATAGAAGGCAATCAGGTTGGTCAAGGATGATTTGACCTTCATGAATTATTTGTTGGCTGATTCCAATCATCCTTCTGTCTTTCATGTGCCCGAAATAAGGAGTACTTGTTCCAGAACTGATCAGGTTTTAGTACCTCAGGTTTTCCCTCTCAGCTTTTTAAACTAAGATTCAACATTTGCCTTCTACAGGTCACTTCCTCCAGTTGCTACGGTGTTTTGAAGATGAGCCTCACAAAGACCTTCGCTTTCTCAGCTTCAGTGGAAGTGTCTAATCTTCTCACCTGTCTGAAATTACATAAATTCTCCCCAACTTAATCCTAGAAGCAGTGGGTTGCAGCTCGTTCTTCTGTTTGCTACTAGGTACAGGGGCCTGGCCTTGCCAGTTAGATGGAAGGCAAAGGAAGCATTAAGTAGTTCAGTTTTTTTCTACAAGTTTGTCTTTAGATCCTCTCTCACTAGCTTGCATGCACTATTTAGTAGTGAACTTACATTTTCTTTCATCCTGTGAATATGCTTACTTGTGGAAGCCCTTTTTGTTGACCTTCACATTTCTTGGTGGTTTTAAAACCAGCCTTATGTGACTTTCCTAATTTGACTCCTGCATACCTAGGTGATGCTGCTGGATTTCTGGGTACCCTATCCCTGCTTGTACTTTCTTTATACTTCCTTTCTGTGTCTGAGATCAGCTGGAAGTTCCCTCTTCATCCAACTTATCTTCCTGCTGTATCTTTCCATCTTATTTGGCAATCATGATGGACAATTTTCATACTTCAGTGAGGTTTTATTTGCAGTTCAGCTCTTGTGGGCTGATGTCCACTTTCCTGAAGTTCAGGCTATCTGCTATATGTCTACCTCACTCAGCATCTTAAACTCATCCTGTTTCTCCACTTCTTTTTGGGCTTTGATCTCAAAACCACAATGAACTTCCTAAAAAGCCTTTTTCAGTAGCAAGACTTTGGGGGAAGATCTCGTTGCCTCTCTTTCTCACATAGGTATCATCACTCTCTAGTGGTTCTCGTTCTCAGAATATAGTCCATAGTCAAAGAAGTCAAAGACCCTGTCTGTGACATCAGCCATATGCCCAGATTTTGATCTGCAGGATTCATCCTCCCCTGCTGCTGAAGCAGGAGATGGCTCCTTGAGTGGTAAGACCAAAAAGATCACCACTGTGGCCCCTTTACCACTGCTCCTAGAGCACAGCAGTCAGCTGTAATCTCCTCAAGGTCTCTTCTGGTGGCAGTGTTTGTGCCCAGATGGGTGATATTAATCCAAAGATTATATCCAAATATATTGATCCAAAAACCTCATCGGTCTTTCTCTAGTATCCCATATCTGAGCCCATGCAAGCAGTCAGCTTCCTGAAACAGTGGCAGTGATCTGCAAGGGGGTGCTAAAGCCCCTAAAGAGAGTTGTGGCCACTGTTACCCATCACTTTACCCTTATGGTGCTGTTTCAGCCAGTTTGGGGCTTTTGTTGGATCCCACTAGCATTTTCCATGAACTTCTTTAATTTTAGCTATCTCTCATAACTTCCCGTCCCACATAAATGTTACCATGTTTTTATGTATAATATATAATCAGTAAGTGCTTTAGATAAGAACAATATTATTAGAGGTTTTGTGGGAGTTTCACTTTCTGATTTCTTGTTGATTACTGAGTGATTGTTATTACTTTCTATTGGTCTATAACAGTTTCTATAACAGTTCCAAACTGTAACTACATGGTTTCCTTGATAATCTACTGGGAAGGGCATGGTTATAAATTCTGAATAAATTTCAGCTTATTCATTCTCCTTTGTCTACTTTTTTTGTAGACTAGCTAGTGGGTGACTCCTTAATTATTGTTTACTGACAGCAGAACTTCCCTGACTTGCATTCTCACCATCGTTCTCTTCATTTGTTTTAAATATTTCGTCCTTATACTCAGGGATCACAACTGATTCTCATGGGAAAAGCAAATGCTCTGCCATTTCATCCTTTTGTTCCCTGTGACTCTCTATAACTGGTTTATTTTATCAGACTATTTCAACAGATCTTCTTTTTTGTAACTTTTAATGGTTTTGATAACTTTTAATGGGACAGTGCAAGATTTACGTTGGCCTCAGAAGGGTACAGGGCTGATGGCTGATTCATTTCACACAGTCTCCATACAAATGAATGGGCTTTCTAACATACAGGGAACAGGAGGAAGTGACTGATGAATGTAACTATGAAGAGAGAGTTTCAATTTCTGAGTCATTCTCCTATATTATCTGTGGACATATTGGAACAGTTATGCTTTTAATTACAACTAGTTAGTTTAATATTTAATTGAAGATTCTTTAGCCCCTAATTAGGTTACAGAAGACTAGATAGCTCTTAAATTTCTCACAGAACACTCATATCCCATAACAATTTAATCAGCTGTGCTTACTCTTGTCTTTAGAATTTTGGTTCTAAGCTGTAAATTACTGAAGAAAGAGACCTACCTTCCTGCATGCTTGTGCATTTCCCAACTCATCTGTTAGATACCATAAGTAATAATAAATAACTGGTAACTATTTGTTTAATGTTACTGCTAAGCAGTAAATTAACAGCTTGCTGGCATTATATTCCAAATGCCTCATTATTATGTTAATTTTGGTATTTTTTAACTGAATTCATTTACGGTGTTAGTATTATACTTTTAAATTACATGTCTACAGGAAAATAGAGTGCTTCTTTTTTTTTTTTTTTTTTTTTTTTAAATCATATTCCAGAGGAGCCCAGAGGCCCTGATTCACTGAGCGGCACATCACTGCCCCCCAGTCTGTGCTATCCTGCCTTCCTGCGAAGCAGCATCTCCCATCTCCCATTCGGTTTCTAAGACAAAGAAAAATGTAATTTAACATAACACAGAATGTTCTTTCCTCTGAATAACATCCACAGCATTTGCTCCAGTCAAGTTACAGTGTTTGTTTTCTCATAGCTGTTTTATCTTTCCTTGTTATAGCTTCAGGAAGGAATGACTGCTTATTGAAAAACCTCAGATATTAAACAAATGTCAGAGTGAATCAATGTTGACGTTAAAGGCGCTGGTATGAAAAACATAGCGTACATACAGTGTTTTTCATATTTTAGTATTCAGCCTGAGACCAGGCATGGGTCCATCTCTATGTAAATTCTTTATGCAAACAAGACCAGAGATCAAAATCTTTGAGTACAGTGTGAGCTGAAAAATGAAGAGAGAAAAAATAAGTCCCTTTAAGGGGAGAAGAAGAACTTGGATCCTCAGAGAAAGACTGAGGTGAGATATATGCGTGGTCTTGGCTTTATACTTAACACCACACTTCAATGAAATGTAATTATGTTAACAGAAAATTGCACTGGATTGTCATTAACAAAATGAATGAAGGACTTAAAAAGGAACAGAAGAAAAGCACTGAAAGAAATCCTTCCTGGCATTTTTTTCCTGTGGGATATTTTTTCCTGTGAACTAATTGGAGAAGGAATGAAAACTACCTCCATATTTGTATTATCAAGAATTAATGTCCTACACTGGGAATTCCTCAGTATTTCGTCACTGGAATCAATTTGACTATCTGCTTGGCTGCACCTAGTTGGCATTAAAAATCAAGCAGAGTACTCTCACTGTTAGTATCATGATGGGGTTATTATGTGGAGGTAGTGACTGACTAACTCATAAATAGCGGACTTCTGCATACAAAAACCCAACCCCACAACAAAACACACACACACGCACAAAAAATGACAAAAAACGTGGGGATTGAATAATTGAATACTGATTATGCTAATTTCTCATTACAAATTTGACATGCTTTTATCTGTTGTGAACTTCACTATTTAAGGAATAAAACACTACTTTAGAATATCAGTGAGTTTGGCAGAACTATCCTTGAACACTTGAATTACAGATAGTGTCCAAGTTTTGAGAAGAATGAATAACATGGGTGAAATCTTGAACCTTGTCTAAGGGTCACGGGAGATTTGGGCTTGATCTGATTAATAACTAGCACCTAGGAGATGAGCACTGCATGCTTTCAACATTGACAGCAGCTCACAGACAGAGTTGAATGCCAAAGACACCTTGAAAAGAAACTGAAACCGACCAATGTGCAAACATAAAGGACTACCTTTAGTCATTCAAAGTGCACAAGTAAAAAGAAATTCAGAGCATGAGGTTGTGTAAATTCATCCTGCTCCAAAACTTCTCTCAAAACCTGAGGTGTCTGTATCTGTTAGAGCACTTGTGTGCTCCCCTGTGTGCCCCCAAGGCGAGGGCTAACAGACAGACTGGGGTAAATCATGGAAGCTGGAACAGCAAAAATACTGACTACCTGAATATTCTACCTTTCAGCTTGACAAATGTTTTGCCCCACCTACCAGGCACATAAGGCAATTCCAGAAACACTTCTTAGCTCTCTAACTTATTTCTTGGTTGAATATGAAATGGCTGGGTATTGCTTCCAGGTTGCCTAGTTCTAGTCACATTTGATTTCTGCTTCCTCTTTTTCCAAAGCCCTTTCCTGTAACATGGACTTGCTAACCTTCATGGATTTTGTCCTGCTGTTTGTTTTAAGAGTCTCTTGGCTTCTCTAACTTCCTACCGACTCCTGTGGCTGCAGTTCTGGCTGGGATGTCCCTGAGCTAATTCAGTTACCGTAGCCTAGCCTTGGCTTCCCCTGGTCATAACATTTTCCAGCTTTGGTTCCAGGCAGTCTTTAAACAACAGGAATGATCATTCATATCTCATCTACCATGTCTTTTAATTTACTAAGATTACGTAACCATGCCTTTTCTTTCAAGTTATGGAGTGGGACTCACTCTTTCTCTCTTCAGATGTAGCCAGGGAACCTGTAGTCATGTTGAGCCAGAAAGAAGATGAGTGCTGCTATGACTGTGAGGAAGAACTGTGGCATGGATGAGAGAAATCCTACCTTGTAGGTTGGATATTCCTGAATTAAGACCACTATTTCTGCCACTATTTCTCTATTGTACCCCGAGAAGCTACTGAACTCTTGGGGGGGGAAAAAAAAAAAGGGAAGCTGACGTAACATTTTTAGAGAGCCTGGTATTGCTGTGTGTGCTAAATATGTCAACCATCCTGGGGAGATTTAGGCCAGGTAAACCTAATTCTTAGCTCTTTGTCCAACTTAGGCAAGAAGTAGCCACTAAACTCAGTCTTGTCAAGACTGAGGCAGTTCTGGGCATAGGAAGAGGTGAGTCCCTAGGCACCTGGGGCACTTTCAAGGCAAACAGGGAGGCACTTCTGGAATTTAGGTGCCCTTAGGGCTAGGTGTCAAATGAATGTGGGATTCCAGGACCATTGTTTGGATCTTGCATGTTTTATGTGGGACAGTCAGGATTCTGGCCCCTGTGTGCTTTATTGCTCTTTTATCTGTCTCTCCAAAGTATGGGAATTCAAACACACTCTTTGTATACTCTGACAGTGAGTCACTTGGACCTCAAATGTTAGCTTTTGGGTACTGCTTCTGGAGGAATTTTCAAACTTCTGTTTTATGGAAGGTAAGTTAACTTTTGACAAAGTTGATGATAGCACATTCCTATTAGTAACTGCATATACAGTATGATAAATATATGCTTTCAAAAAAGAAGTTATTTTCCTATAATTGGTTCATGAGATTTAGATTTTTTTAGCATATATTGTATCGTATATTGGAACAGTTCTATATTAGAACAATGATTCTGCTTCAAAATAATTGAAAGGGAGAAACAATGATTTGAGTGAATAATGCTATTTTAACTTGTGTTTTGATTCTGTAACAGCTTTGCAGATTTTGAGTCTGTATTGGCCTGATTGATGTTCCAAAATTATCATCTTCGTGTTTGTTTTTCGTATGTCTTGCATACAGTATGCTGTCAAGCTAGGTGAATACTGAATATGATGAAGTCTAATCCAGATATCCAATCATCTTCTTTTTCACCATGTTGGAATGAAACCAAACAGGAGAAGGCTTTGTTGCATAATATTTTTCTATGATAGGAATTACTACGAACTGTTGCAAAACTGAGTTGCTTCAGATAAAAGCTAGACTGACTTGTTCTGTCACATATGTCAGGACTGCTGACATAAACATGACCATCATTTGAAGTTTCCTAAATGACTGCCTAATTCTAATGAATTTCTGTCTTGACTAATGGTCTTTAGAATGCCTTTCCTAAAAAACAAAAAGGTCCAAATCTTCTAAATGAGCTTAGAAACAAGGACTAGAAGTACCAGCCCTCCATAAATCTGGTAGGACTGATTTCACATGTTGTTCTGATAATGTCACATCTAACACTCAGACGTAATTTTGACCAAACTCTGAACAAATATCTACAAAATATCCTTCATCCACTTTTGTGTACTAGTATATTATAGCTCACGTTAGCACTGAAGCATAAATGCTGGATACCTTAAGATTGATGTCGTATTTGTGCCTCCAGAGAGATGGTTAACCCTGCACATTTTTTAGCATGTGAACAACATACTCTGTGGTGCTAATGTTGATTCTAAACCTGCTGAGACACTCTGAAATTATTTTATAAGATACTCCTCTTATACTCCTCTTTTTCTCTGCTCTGTGATTTAACCTGTATGTTCTAAGTCCATACATGTCTTTTTGTTGTGGAGTGAAGAAGCACAGGTCTCCTCAAGTCTGCTCAACCATCTGATGTGCTGAGAACTTGAGGGTCAACAATTGCTGCCCATCATCACAAAGTGGATGCTGCCAAGTCTGCAGGTGAGCATAGGGCCATGGAGGGTGGCTGGTTCATTATAACATACCCACCTGCAGGCTGGTGGCCTTAGTGGGTGTAGTGGCAGAGTGGAGAAACTGGGGCAGCAGGTGATCCAGACTTCTATCTCCCTATTGCTGCTACTGAAATGGCCCACCAACACCAGTGTATTCACCTTCACTCAGGAAAAAGAGCTCCTGTTTTGTTCCTAGGTTTCCACCAACGACAGTGCATTACCTATCACCAGGTCTCACTCCTTGGAGATACTTAATGCCCAGCTGGACATGGTCCTGAACAACCTGCTCTAGCTGAGCCTGCTTGAGTGGGGGGCTGGATGAGACAGCGTCCAGAGATCCCTTCCCACCTCAACCATTCCATGATTCTACTTACAGAAACTGCTTCACTAAAACTGACAGGTTTTCTTGATGTGTTTCCTGAGGGCACAACCGCCCACCTTTCTGGTTCTGCCCAGTTTTGTCTTGACACATTACATAATACTCAACAACTATTTTAAGTTGGGGAAAAAATCACTTTCTTCATAGATTAGTCCGTTTAGTTAACTAGTATCCAAGTAAATTATACACAACTCAGAGGAATAACTGAACTTATCCCAAAACAAATGTATATATTGCTTTGGATGAAACAGTGGTGTAAGAAGGGCTGGGCTGCTTATTTAAACTCTTTCTGTATTTTGTCTTCCTCTGCCTTGTCTTCACACTGTAAAATAAATAAATAAATAAATAAATCAGCATTAACTTTTGTTCATCTTGATGTATGTAATATGTTTGTCACTTGTCAGCCAATTATGGCCATCTCTTAACAGTGAATATAAAGTTTTTCCAGCACACAAACTTTTAGCATTTTCATTAGCTCATGTTAACATTTTCGACAGACTATAATCTGAATGTTGCAGCAGCGGCAAGCAAAGGGAGAACAAACAAGATACTACCAAAATGTTAGTGCCCTTCCGTGTTGTGCACAAATATGTGCTGGTTTGTTAGAATTTAGGACAGACAGTATCCTCCTGTGTGAAAAAGCGACTATTGGAGAGCGTGCAAAGGACAGTTATGAAGACATACCGGGAGCGGTTGAGGTCTCTCGGTGTGTTCAGCACAGAGCAGAGGAGCTGAGAGGAGCCCTCACGGCGGCTGCAGCTCCTCACAGGGAGCGGAGGGGCAGCGCTGAGCTCTGCTCTGTGTGGCAGCGACAGGGCCCGAGGGAACGGCATGGAGCTGTGTCAGGGGAGGGGCGGTGGGGGTTAGGGACAGGGTCTGCACCACAGGGCGGTGGGCACGGAACGGGATGCACAGGGCAGTGGGCCCGGCCTGAGTGTATCAAACCCCACAGACACGGGGTTTGATGTTGGTTGGTGCTCCGTGGAGCCAGGGTTTGGACTCGCTGATCCTTGTGGATCCTTCCAACCTGGGATTTCTGTGATGCTGTGAAAATCACCTACCCTCCTCCTCCCTCCGCCCCCACCAAAGGGCTCGATTTTTACTTCTCGGCATAACGAAGAGCCGGCAGGATGGCAGAAGCCGAGTTCTCCCCAGGGAGATGGATAAGCAGCTCAGTAATTACCGCGGCGGGCACCGGTGCACAAAGCAGCGCTGCAGGGCCAGCAGAGCCCCGAGTCCCGCGGAGCCCCTCGGCGGGGTCCGGTGGCGGTGGGTCCGGGCACCGCTGCGGCTCCGCGGGCGGCGGGCCCCCACGGCGCTGCCTTTTCCCGCCGGTGGCGCAAGAGCCCGGCTCGGCCCCGAGGGCCGTCGGAGCGCAACAACAAGATAATGGCCCCTAATGCGCACCCTGGGCACGGATCGCACGCCAGCCGCTCCCTTCCTGTGCCACCGGCGGGGAACCTGCCGCGGCGCGGCTCTCTCGGCGGGGAGGGACCGGGGCGGCCGGCGGTGGGCAGGGACGGCGGGAGGCGATCGCCTTAATAACGCATACACCGCGGCGGGCGGCAACCACCGGCGCGCCCCGTCCATGCCCGCGGAGAGACCGCCACCCGCGCAGCGCTGCCCTCGGTGCCGCCCCGGCTCCGGCCGCCGGCGGGCGGGCACCCCCGCGCAGCCCCTGTCTTCCCGCCGCCGCGGCGCGGAGCTCGGCATGGCGCGGCGCGGACGCTTCCAGCGCCTCTTCGGCCGCAGCGAGTCTGAGGACTCGGAGCCCGAAGGGGCGGCCGCCTGCCCCCGCCGCCGGCCCGCCGCCGCCGCGCCCAAGCGGCGCTCCGCGTTCCCCCAGTGGCGCCCGAAGAGGAAGGAGCCGCAGCCGCCCGCCCGCGGCGCGCCGCCCGCCGCCCCCCTCGGCCTCCAGGAGCCGCCGCCGCTGAGGTGAGTGCGGGCGGGAGGGCACGGCCGGGTGTAGCCAGCCGCTGGCGAGCGGCTGAGCCCCCCGACGGGAAGGTGCGTCCCAGCAGGGCACGGTGAGCTCGCGGCACGGAGTTCGTGCTGCTCCGAGCTGGGCAACGCGATGTGCGCGCTGTGCGTTAAACGGCCGCGTTGTTGGGTAACTGAGCTCTCGGGTGTTTGGTTCGAGCTGAGAAAACCGGGCTCTGTGGGTGGCTCTGTGTGCTTTTTGTTTTTTTTTTTTAATATGTGTGCAGTAGTTCCACTGAAAACACCAGTATTTGCCTAAAAGTGGACATCGTGCAGGTGGGCAGACTTGACTGAAGTACGGGCTAATGATGCGTGTGTTTGGCACTGAAATGAAGTACTGAGAACTTCAAATACCAAAGAATTTCATGGAAGAAAAAAGTGGTAGTTTATGTTCGCATTTGTGTAGGAAAAGTACTGTGAAGTCTGTTTTACAGAGCTACTAATCCAGGAAATCTGGGTCTGACCGTGCCCCTGGGTGGCCAAGTGCAGGGCACTGCTGCAGGTGACCTCAACCAGGAACAGGTCCCTCTTCCACCTCCCCTGATAAAGTGAATCCCAGTGCTTTGTCACCAGCAGAAGATCACAGCTCAGCTGGAGGGGAAGCCAGGCAGGCTCTGTGCTCAGACCCAGACTGCACAGGACCGTGCCCAGCTGGGCTTTGAAACCTTGAAAGAGCAGAGAGCAGCTTCTCTAGGCAAGCTGCATTGCTGCTTTCATAAGGGGAAGTTTCTCCTGGTACGAGCCTGGAACATCGCTTCTCTCCTTTTTTGGCCTCTCTGGCTGTGGCCCACTGAGGAACCTCCTGGCCCTTCTTGGAGACCCTCACTTGGGTGTCAGCAGGTGCTGCTCGACCAAGGTTGCCTCTCCCTGAGCCGCAGCAGCCCCACTTCACAGCCTCTCCTCCCAGGGTAAGTGCTCCAAGCCCCCAGCACCTTGAGGCCTTGAAGGCACTCCAGTTTGTCTGCTTCTACTTCATGCTGAGGGGGCCCGGAACTGGTGTTGAGATGGGGTCCGGTGAATAGTGAGGAAAAGGGAAGAGGTCTTTCGTCAAGGTGCCAGTTACTCAGGCTCCCAGATAGCTTGCTTGCTCTGCAGTGCCAAACCAAAGCAGCAGTGCTTTACAGGAGTTCAGATTCAGTTGCTACACCTGAAAAAATGGGAGGATGTTTTTGCTGTGTAACGTTGTTACCAAGTTCTGTGCTTAAAATGTGAGTGGAATCTCCTAACTGGAAAGCTTCTGAAATGATAGGTTTGTGGTTTGTAACTCTCATTATGAAATACTGTTTTTTGCTTTCTGATCAGGGAACCAGTCCTACTGTTGACGACAGGTTGGGCTTGTGCTTGAGCACATGGATGTACATGTTTATGTTAACATCATTAATTGCACTTGGTCATCTTCAGAGTACAGGCTGCTCTGTTTGTGTAGCTTTCTGCCATCCTCATTTCTTCTTAAAAATGGAAGGAGCAAAGCCCAAAATACTCAATGCATTTTTTTTCCATATTGAAGATTACGGTAGCATTTCTGAACTGAGACATTGTTTGAAGTGTTTTGTTTTTATTACATGAATGGTAGACTGTAACTTATGATTGGAAAAATACTATGTGGACCAAATAGGAGATTTCTAACGGTGATGATTTTGAAAAATCGAGGTGCTTAGCAGATATGAGGGAGATACAGTCTGGCACATACCTGGCATGAAAGTTGCCTCTTTGAAGACACTTATTTAAATGATGCTTCAACTTAATATCTGATGAGCTTGCAATTTTTATGGTTTTTTTTTTAGGTAGCCAATATTTCTCTTTGCTGTTAGGTTACTTATCTTGAGGAGCAGTAGCCAACACATTATAGAATGTCTTAACATTAATAAAAAAGCAAGCAAGCAGCTCAGCTCCTTTAAACTTGAGGTCATGAGAGTGAATTCTCATGCCTTGATACAGTTTGTATTACACTATTTATGTTCTTGAGTGTCTCCGGATGAACTCCCCTGGTCTCTTTTTCCAGCAAAAACTCCTAGAGTCTCTTTGCCAGAGGCAATAGTTACAAACTGGAGCCTCTAAACAGCAGAAGCATGCTGGAAGAGAAAAATGGGAAAGAATGACAGTTGCCACCATATCTTAGAAAACTTCACCATTCAAAGAAACCAAATTTTAGTTTGTCCCTTGAAAGTCATGAAGCTTCCAAACATCGGACAGACTACAGAGCTGACAAGTTTTGGACATCAAATGATCTCCACCCAAGGGCAGCTTTAAAAATGAGGGCGATGACTTTGGTTTGAACTTCGAAGGAGGAAGCTGAGTACTGGAGGACAAAGAAGATTGTCTGTCTTTGGGGTGTGATTGTTTAGTGTGGTGATTTTGGAGCCTTTGGTATTTGTTGGTCAAGACCAGACTTGTTATTTCAGTCCAGCTATAAACTGGCTAATGCATAAATCACAATAGTTAGGTTCTTGCCCAAAACGTGTCAGCATCAAAACATTTTTGCAGCTTATTACTTCCTAAGTTTCAAGAAGCACAGGTAATTCTCAGCATTGGTATTGAGACTGCTTGGACTGCTACCATCAGCAATAGCCCCTCTTACTTTTGCTGTGTTCCTTTCTCCTGCTTAAATTGAACTCAGCTCATCTTCATCAACATACTAATTATGAAGGCAAAGAAAACTCTGTGACTGTTATTCTACAATGATTTGGCAGGGATGCAAACATGAATTAGGATCAGTAAGAACCAAAAAAAAAGCCCAACAAAACAATACCAAAGAGAAACTTAGTATTAGGCTACATCTAAGGTTAGTCAGACTGCAGAATAATTAGATGTTATCTCAGAGAGGAACACACACACTCAGGAGATGGGTGAGGAGAAGTGTTGCAAGCGGAGAAAGTGGTACTGGGACAATTTCCTTTCAGCTGCTCTTCTTTGATTTCTGTGTTAGAAGAACTGAGGTTTAATCGTGCTTTGCAGCCCGTGTGCAGCTTTGTTTTGTGAAATAATAAATGTTTCATCCTATTAAAAACAGAGCTCGTAGTATCACAGAATATTAGTAGCTTGACTGATTGACAAGAACAAAATGCCAGAAAGTGTCATGCAGTCAACTGCATTGAATAGTAAAATAGGAACTGTTTATTCAGTGTGCTTTGGGTGTGTGTGTACTTTATACTTGTATAGTTGAAAGAAAGATTGAGTTGTTCACCTGTGTTTTTTTCCAAGATTGAATGTGGATGTCTAGAAGGGTTGTTGGTTGCATTTAATTTGTCGAAGATGGAAATGAGAAAGGGTAATTAGTTTTGCAGTATAATTCTTGGTAGCCTATAATGCAAGTCTAATGCCTTAGGAATACAGATTTATTAGTTTTGATTTATACAGGAAAGAAGTTCT